TTATATTTGATAAGAATTTATTATAAAACTTGTAATTCAATTCATTTATCGACATTAAATAATACTACTCAAGCTAATGTTAAGAGTAAATATTACTTTTTTGTCTTCTCAATTATGTTGCGAATATTCGATTCTTTATGAGTAATGCTAATAATTATACGGTGAGAGAAAACAAAATAACTTTTTTTCGCTTTTGTACAGACACTCTTAGCATCATGATTCACAACATTCTTATTGTATCGATATATAAAAGCAAAAAGAAAACTTTTCTTCCCGTAGTTCGATCGCACATTTTGTAGTACGTTAAAAATGGACTATTATTACAACATGTTCCTCCATTAATAAATAAAAAGAAATGGCATACATGGAACTATCAAAGACCAATAAGCAATTTTTTCTTTCATTCAATAATTTATACAATAGTATAAATGAATTTTATGACATAGACAAAAAAAGGAATAAAAAGAGCACGAGAGATATTAAAAAAGAAAATGTTATAATCATTCTCTTTATATTCTAACTGTTTTAACATACTAATCGATGTAGAATACATAACATTGGTTCATGATAGAAGCATAAAAAACTTTACCCTTCTTTTTTTGCTTTCGATTAAATCAATGGTTATAATAACTTGAGAAACAAGATGTAAGTAGGTAGGAAAAGCCTATTATTTTATTTAGCACAATTAAAATAAAAACATGCATTTTTTTTACTTAAAGCAATTATTCAGTATGAATATTTCTTTGAGATGTATAAAAAAAGGAACAGTTTTTTTTCTTTCTATTGATTTCATCGCGTTCCTTTTTTCTTCTTTTTATGTATATCATCGATTATTTATAATTATAAAAATTTCTAATCCTCGTGCATTCATAGTATTAAATTACTACTATCATAATGCACGTAATACTAATAAAAGCAGCTCGTTTTTTCTTATTCTCCAGTTTATAAGACAAAAAAGCAGACCTTTATAGAGATTTTTCTATAGAAAAAAAAAAAAGAAGAAAAAGGTGAATAAGAAACGATTTTATAAGAGATGAAATACCATCATAGCATTAATACAATTAACTTCGATTTTTTTCAAAGCAACCATTTTTCATAAAAGAAAATAAAAAAATACAATGACGTCTCATGTTTTAAACAGACAAGATTCTTATAGTGATCATTAAAGTGCTAAAAACTTCAGGTAAGTATTCTTGTCATCAAATAAATTTCAATAAATATTTTTCAATGTATCAATTAAATAATAAAAAGATTATTATAGCATACTTTTTTCTCTTTTAAGTTTTTCTCTTTTAAGTTTTTCTCATCAAAAGTTAAATCACTACGATCGACGCGGTTTGTGTTTTTTTATTCCGTATTGTTCGTCTTGATTTTAAATAATCGTCATATAAATTTCTTTTGCTATGATAGAATATCTTTAGTATTAGAGAAGATGTCTCTGTCATAGGAAGTTCCTTTGAAGACGCAACGCTTCAAACAAAACAAATAAGTATTTCGTAGTGATTCAATTAATTAAGATATTGTAACTTTAATCAGAAATATTTCTAATTTTCATGATTCTTATATGAAGATTGAAGTCAAAAAGATTTCTTTGCTTTTCTAATTCTGAAAAGTTCTCTAAACGATTACAACCTTCTCTAGAGTCTTTTTACTGATTAGCATTTAAAAAAGAGATATATGTAGTAGAACATATTATAGAACATTTAGCTGCTTAAATGTGACAGCAGATCCAAAATTTTCTATTGTTGGAGAATAGCGTTGGTGAATGTATCATAAATATATATCTATATAAATCCATTTTATTTCACTTATTATTTATGCTCGTTAAGTAGTAGTACAAATTTTTCGTTTCAAATACTATGATTATTCTCTTTCTCTGTCATGTTAATATGAAAAAGAGAGGAAAACTGAAATCCTAAGAAGAGAGAGAACGAAATGTTCTAAATGCAACAATCAAACAATAATATATAAATAAAGAACAAAAAAAAAGGAGAACGACAAAGTTAGTAAAACAAGAAATATATACCACTACTTATAAATATTTTTTTGATTTTCTTTTAATTAAGAATATTTGTATTTGTATTAAATTTAATTTAATAGACCATTGCATAAATTCTTTTTCTATGTTAAAAGATATAAGTACTGTCTTAAAATTCTCTATCTTATGAATTAACTACGAATATTTTTATTCTTATCGATGAAAACAATGTTCGATGAAAAAAAAGTAAGTTTCTGAGAAAATATAAATTAAGAGAAAAACGAACTAAAATTCAATGAAACATCTCTAATAACTTTTTTCCTAGTTCTTGCACCTTTCTTCTTACGCATGTGCCTAGTACGAGTGTAATGTTCTTAAGAAAAAAAAATAATTTATTAAGGAAACAAGTAATCCTTTGTGATTGATGATGATCATTTAATACAACTTGAATGTTTTTCGAGTATTTAATAGCAAATCAAAAAATATTATTTTATTAGTAGACAGAAATATTTTTAATATAACATGAAGTATTAAATCTTCTGGGAATCATAAAAACAAAGATCTTTTTATGATAAAGATGTTAATCTAACAAACTTATCCCTTCTACACCGAATTGCAACAGTGTTACTTGCATAAAGGACTGAAGAAAGAAGAAAAGAAAGCGAAATGATAATAATATTTTATTAAGGAATTTACTATTATTTCTCGAGAACACTTTGTATAATTTATAAAAATTTCTCTTATTTTCTTTCTAGTCTTTCATCAGTCATATACAAAATGATTCAGCATTAATGTCAACTGTAACAACAAAAAGACTAGATTTATTATTTACTAGCAAAACATTAATTATTTTTTCACTTGTTATATCTATATTTGGCCTATATTATTTTGTTATAAAAAGTAAAACATCATCATCAACAATCAATTTTCTTGTTTCATCATTACCATCATTGTCATCAAGAGAGCTTAATTCTAATCCATGTCAATTATCTATGAAAGAATCTGATGATTGGTTTTGTGAATTAGATTCCGATTGGAAACGTCGAAAAATGCTCCATCATATACAAAATAAACGTAATCGGATATCAGATATGCGTCCATTATTTTTTCAAAATAATTGGGAACCAACCATACAATGTGAATTTGAACGACGAGTTGGTAATATTGGTGATGGTGGAAAATGGGTTTGTGATATACATCGTTTTGGACCTATGAATACTACAAATCTACTGGTTTATTCATTGGGTTCGAATGGTGATTTTAGTTTTGAACGTGCAATTAAAGAACTATTTCGAAATGCAGAAATTCATACATTTGATATGGGACTATTTAAATGTCCTGAAAATGTTTGTACATTTCATCAGGTTCGTTTAGGTAGTGGCAAAAATGATAGTTCAAAATCTTTACAAATGGTTATGAATGAACTTGGTCATCAAAATCGACAGATTCATATACTTAAAGTTGATATTGAAGGTAGTGAATTTAATTTTTTTGAAGAACTATTTCAGTCTTCAAATAATAATCAAAGTGATTTACCTTATATTCGTCAAATTCTTTTTGAAATTCATCTTGGTGCTGATAGAAGTGAAGCACCATGTCGACGTGCACATAAATTATTTGAGTTATTTCGTTCTTATAATTATGCAATATTTCATAAGGAAGCAAATTTATATGATGCACAAAATGTTTTTGAATATGCAATGTTACGTTTAAATCCATCATTCTTTATATCACCATTATGATTATGTAAATTTAATCCGAATGTTTTCATTTCATATCTGTTATTTGTTATAGAAATGTCTGCTTTGTTTTTTGACAGAATCGATATTGTTTGAACAGAGAAAGATGAATTGAGTTTTTATGAAATTTTTGTTTATGTTGTCTTTTCGTGAAAAAAAGTTGAATTATTTATAAATAAAAACAGAAAACATTATATCGATCCAATAATTGCATACATGTAAAAAAATGCGTTAAAATAAGTAAACCATGGCGTAGTTAGAAGTTTTTAAGTGATGGGCTGTTTTCCACCTAAACTATTTTAAGTAGTAGGCAGTAATGGGCAATAAAAAAACCAATTGAAATTCACTTTTTCTAAAACTTATTACCATCACAAAAATCGATGTTTATTGAAGAGAAGTTTGTTTCTCTTAACAAATAGGCGGCTGGTTCACTTTTTTGTATTAATTCACAAATGCACGTCTCAACTTTCGTATATTCAAATATATAACGTTAACAAGGATAAATAAGCACAAATAAAACCGCTATCGAATTCAAGTGGATTAACGAGTGTTTGGGCGAAAAAAAATCATTGCATGATGATCATTGTGACCATCGATTTTATAAAAAAAAAAGAAAAAGATAGTCGGTTGATCTTTCTCGATCACTTAACAAGATGACAACAAGATACAATATAATAATGTGACGCCGCTTAGGCCTCTATACATGTATGTTTATCTAGATTTTTCATCGTTAGGAAATAAGTATCGTTTGGAAAATAATCCATGAACAATTACTTTCAAACTTGTGAACGATTGCCTAATGACTATATTCTTGACTACGTAATTCTAAATGACTTTTTTAATGCATGATAATACAGAAAAAAGAACATTTTCAAAATATGTTCCACAGTAAATCTGAAAAGAATAACGAAAACACATGAAAACATAATAACACATCAACTGGAATCGTGATGATACTTTATTGAATCCGATCAGTTACAGATTGGTTGTTTATAATGATTCTCTCAACTTTGGCAGAAAGAAAAATGTCGAAAGGTAAAAACGTCGAAAGGTTAAACTATCGAAATGTAAAAATTTTCAAAGTAAAGTTGCTCAAAGATATGTTTTCTAAACATGACTCGCAAAGATGTCATAGCAAGTTGATTTTAATTCCACCGTGTTCGATTAAATTTCTTATTGACTCATTGCGTCACTTCTCGTCCGGTATAGCGTAGTAAATTGACTATTCAATAAAAATAGTCGATTATATACAATCGTATACAATCATAGGTACATATATATAAATGGCATCGGTCAATGCTGCCTCAAATTCCAACAACGAAAAATTAGATTTTATCACCTCGAGCAAAGGTCAACCGTTATTAGTGATGAATAATTACGTATACAAGTGCACCAAAAAGACAAGGAAAAAAAAATGCTGGATTTGTACAACGAATGGCTGTAAGATCTTTGTTCATACAGACATAAACAATAACTATTTATGTGGTGGTAAAAATGAATATGAGCATGCTGCTAATCCAGAATTACTTGAAATTCATCAAACACGTCAACAAATAAAACGACAAGTAATGAATGAGTTAACACCAATAGGAGCAGTTTATGACGAGAAAATGTCGAAAACATCTATGAGTTCAACAGCCATTGCTATATTTCCAACGGTCCGCGAAATTTGTAAGTGACTTTATCAGTACTTATAAAAATAAAAAAATCTGTTTTACTTTAGACCAAGGTTTTGCGAAGACTCGACGAAAAGCAATGCCACCCGCTCCACAGTCATGTATATTTGACATTCCCGAACAATATACATTGACAATTGACAATAAAAGATTTTTATTATTTGATGAAGCTCGTGTTCGATGAGAGGGATTATTAATTTTCTCTAGTGATATTCAACTTGATTTGTTATTTAAATCTTCGATAGTTTATATGGATGGAACTTACAGTAAAACACCAAATCATTTTTTTCAATTATTTACAATGCACTCTGTGAATTTTGACATTTGTTAGTATAAAAATTTTTCTTTTATTTCTAAATATTTTTTAAAGGCATGCCTAGTGTCTTTGGACTGCTCATAGATAAAAAATCTGCTACATAGAAACAAATTTTTACTGAGTTGAAAAATATTGCATCGAAAAAAGGACTCAATTTTTCACCATCACTCATTATGTCTGATTTTGAACCGGGTTTATTTTCGGCAGTGAAATCAGAAGTTAGTATATTATGTTTCAATTAAAAAATCTTTTTTTTTATCAATTTGACTATTTTCAGTTTCCATCAGCTACACATAAATGCTGCTTTTTTCATTTTTGTCAGGCCATATATAGGCAAATACAGAGTTTAGGGCTACAACAACATTATTTATCTGATGAAAATTTTCGTCTTTTATGTCGTAAGTTGATGGCATTAGAATTAATGCCACTAGACAAAGTGGTGAGCAGTTTTGAAGATCTAAGAAGTGCTGCTCAATGTTTACCCCAATTAGAGGTTATAGAATTATTACAATATTTTGAAAATAATTGGATATCAAATATTGAATTATGGAATATGTTTGGATTATATAGTCGAACCAATAACACCTGTGAAGGTTAGTAAACATCATGTACCAACAAAATGACATTTCTGCTTTTTTATAATTTAAGGCTATCATAATAGAATAAATAGTCGGTTGCAACGGAACCATCCAAATATATGGCAACTTATTAGCTTCATGAAAGTGGAAGAAAAACGTGTTCAAAATATACGTCTTCAATGGTCTTCTGGCGCATCAAATAAAAAAAAGAAACTCACTGCAGCATTACAAAATCGACATACTATGGGCTATTTAATTTCAGTCTGAATTTATCAAATAAAAATAATACTTGATTTCAAACTGAAACGTGAGTCTAGGAGTGAGGGAGGGGGGTGACTGATGGTGTGGGTGTTGGTCTGGGACCCACACACACACCCACACCCATGGTGCGGGTGTGGGCGCGCGAGTGAGGGTGAGGGTCTGCTTGTGGTTTTGTGTACTATAGGCTTTAGTCCCCTGCACAGGGGACTAAGCGGGGACTAAGCTTTTTGTGGGGGGGACTAAGGGGGACTTTGCAGGACTAGGGGGGACTAAGGGTTTTTAGTGAGACTACGTAGTATCAAGCGAGAAAAGTTTGATTCGGAAGAAATTGGTGTGGTTTTTTTGATTATGGAATTCAGTTTGAAATAAAAAAGCCCATAGACTCAAAATCGAATAGATGCTTTGTATCATCGATATAACAATTATTTACTAAGTGCATCTGATCTTCTTACTGGTCTGTCTTTCATCGTGGCGAAGAAGAAATGATACACCAAAAATTTTAATTAACTTTTTCAATTGACTTATTGAGAATTTTTGCTTGTCTTTGATTCATTTCTTATTTGATAACAAAATTGATTTATATTAAACTGTTGATTATTTTGCATACTCAGAAAAAAATCTAAATTTGCTTTGGTATTCTTTTGTTCTCTAATAGCTTTACTTTCGATATTTTTGTAGTTCGATATTTTTATATTTCGACATTTTTCTATTTCGACATTTTTATAGTTCGACATTTATATAATTTTTTTTTCGACATTTTTACTTTCGACCAAAGTTCAGATTACTGTTTATAATACAAAGGGTGTGAGTATGGATGTAGATATTAATGCAGATCTTATCTTTATTCGCACCCACACTCCACAATCACCTTTATTTCTATACGAAATATGTTCTCTAGATAAACACTTATAATATCTGTCAAACTAGTTTAGAATTACAGCGTTATCAACATTACAATAAGATAATATTTAAAAGAGTAACGATTGAGAATGAAGGAGGATTTTCTAACGAGGGAACTTCACGATTTCATACACTCTGTTTCAGTTCATATCAGAACTGCCAGCCTGCCAGGCCAGGCTACCAGGCCAGGCTGAGTTTTAGAATTTTAGCCTGGCCTGCTGTAGACCAGGCTAGATTCAGCCTGGCCTGCAGGCCAGGCCAGGCCGAAACTTGTGGCCTGAGCAGCAAGTAGTCAAATTTTTTGCGCCTTGATCTATTCTGATTCGAAGTGGCATTGCGGATTTAAAATACTTGGACAAAGTGATTGTAGTCATATTTTTATTTTTAAAATTCATAGCACATTATAAAATGATAGGCTTTCATCTTAAAACAAACATCTGTTCGATGCTTCGATTTTCGATGTTTGATGTAAGTCTTTTTGTAAACAGAATTGGGAATGTGTAACCTGACCATGTCCTGCGATGAATGACAAGGATGATCATTAGTCATATTCAATTGTCTCATCCATTCTAATTCAGTATTTACAATGAAGATTCAAAGTGGCACCAAACTCGGAGAGTTTACATCAACTCACAAGGCTATATTTTCTCGTCAGAATAGATAATTTTTGTAAACTAATTTATCTGTTTTCGTATTTTTATGCTGACTTGTGATCAAGTTAGAATGTGTCTCAATACGGAAGGATAATGTATTCTTATAAAAAATGAGACTGACTAATTATAAAATCCAACAAGCATCATTCAGAAAACAAAGACAAGCAGCAACCATTTCTGACTTGGATTAAAACTGTTTGCTATTTTTCAATTTTTATTTTATAACTATTACAGTATACGTTTTTCACTGTTGTGAAACAACCCTGATGAAAGTAGAATGGATTTGAAGGCATAACTATCTGCATAGGCAAGACGATTCTTTTTTCAGGAGTCTATCTTTTGGTTTTCTATTTTTGGAAAATTTCGCAATTTCATCATCTTAATTGAGGAGAAATATGCGATCACGACTAGGATGAGATAATGAAAAGAAGTCTGATGCACATTGTATAAATTTATCTATGAAAGTAGTAAAATATTTGATAAATTTCTTCTGTTCTCTCAAAAGCCTGCAGACCAGGCCAGACTGGATCAGAGCAGGCCAGGCCAAGCATCTTATTCTTAGCCTGGTCTGCCATTCGTACGGGCCTGGTCAGGCCAGGCCAGGCTGAAAAAAACCGGCCTGTTGGCAGCTCTGGTTCATATTATACTCATAGAGAGAATTTACAGTGTAGATAAATCCACAATAAGGAATGATTTCCTTTAGGTCTTTGTTCTCGAGTTAGGATCATTTTACTGAATTTCCGATCCATTGCTGGATATTATAAGCAAAGTCAAATTACGGGAATCGAATCTGAAATTTCATCCACAACAGATTTCACGAGTCTCATCATGTTCGGAAAGTTTCATCGACAATGAATGGTTTCTCCTGAAGATGTTGAATGTTAAACGAATCGCACTTTCTCGACTGTATGAGAATAGATCTTTTTTTTCATATTCGTTAGTTCGGCAATATAGCACCTGTTTCAACTGAAATTTTAAGGATAAACTAAGACTCATAAGATTTATTTTTGGGTAATATATTGGATTGAAATTCTTTGATTTGATTTTCTCGTAATACCCCGTCTAGGCTGAAAATTTAGTAAAGTAATTATAACTCAAAGCAAGGATTTGGTAGAAAGAATCATATCAGGATTTTTACCTACACTATAAGCGCTATCAATGAGCAAAATACGAGCTAAAAGAGAGTGTACTAGTAGGTGATTTTTTCTCATGAAGAGCATCTTTTTCAAGGACGACATGTCAGGAACATATTTTACAAGCACGAAAAATCAAGGACATTTGTTACGAGGACGATAAGTTGAATACCTTTCCAAAGGGTATTGTAGGCTATATTCAATTCATCTTTTAATAGTTTTGTTTAAACGGTATATGTTTTGCGTCTGATATTAAAAAATAATTACCTAAACGGTAGCAGACTTCACCTCATAAAACGGCATTTGCACTTATAATAAGAATGTGAATATTTTAATTGGCAATAATTTATTTGCTAAGTAAAGTTATTAAAATGCTAAGCAGACTTTTGCCAAGTAAAATTTGTACATGCTCAGTAGATGAAATTGACTACTAAGTGATGATATTGAACACTCAGTTAGTTTATGGTTTCTCAGTGATAAAAAATATTCGCTAAGTTAGATAATTATTATGTAAATAAAAATTGTTTTTGCTAAGTTAATCAATTGAAATCATAGTTCGAAAATAAAATCGCTAAGGAAAAATTATTAGTACTAAGCAATTTCTCATAAAGATCATGTACGATTATCTAACACAGATTTAGTTTTTTTATGATGGTATGGTGTATATATTTTCTCTGTTTCTTTTCTTCTGTCAGTATTGAACTATCATCGTGATACATGTATATTTCACGTATGTTTTCGTTTTAATGTCATGCGTCAAGGTTAGGGGTGCAACAAATCCAAACATTTGAGATTTGATGTAGAAAGATTTGAGTTTAATTTAGACTTGATTTTGGATTTAGATTTAGATTTGGGTTTGATCTCAAATTACCCAAATCCGATGAAGCGCCATAAGATAAAGAATAAAAAGAATGAAGAGAATCGAAAGTCTTCAAAATTGCTAAGAAATGGTTTGGATTGTGTATAGATTTGGATTTGGGTTGTAGATGTGGGTTTAGATTTGGATTCGATGTTCGGATTTGGTTTCATTCTATCATAAACCAAAAGTTCAAGTCATGTTAAATTGAAACCAAATTCCAAATCCAAATCCAATTCGTAGACACAAATTCAAACCCAAATCCAAATTCCGAATTCCAAATCTAAATATAGTGCAAATTCTTAGTGATAGGTCCGAACCAGGTCCAAACGATAGCTGCAATCCAAATTCAAACGGAATTCAAGTCTGAAACCAAATTCCAAATCTCAGAAACAAAATCCAAATCCCAAAGATTTTGTCTCAAATTCCAAATGTGCTAGAGATTTGATGCACCCCTAATCAAGGCATACATTTTTTTCTTCGAGGATACTCCAATAAAATAATTTCTCTTTTCTGTCTCTTGTTTCTTTTCTGCGTGATCTGTATTGATCTCTCAAGATTTTTTTTTTGAGCTTCCTATTTCCTAGTGCTCCCTCTCCTTCTCCTCCCATTCACTTTGTTTTTCTAGAAATATTTACCATTGAAAGTTTACTTCAAATTTGGGGTGTTCGTGTGAGCGTAGAGATAAGAGTGTTTGTAAAAAGTACACTTTCACTAACATTCAGAACTACTATCGACACTCACACTCTGAAATCGATAAAAGTCTCCGTTGAAATTAAAGTTCCTGAGAGCTCATTTCAATTGATTCGTGCGCTAAGAGTGTGAGCGCATGTAGATTTAGAATGTTGGCGTTTGCAAATGTTAGCCTTCTTTTTAAAAACACTCCTATCCTCAGATTTTATCAGAATACAAAATCGAACTGTCCTATTCTCTCAGCTACTTCAAGGAATAGATTTTCAAACATGGTATTGATTTGAATATTGGGTTGAAGTTTTGAAAACGACCTCCATTAGCAAAGGATATGTCACGGCATGATAAAAGGAAACGAAGATGATTACGAAAAGCAACAGAAGTTTCATTATTACAATAACTGTACGATGAAGTCCTTTACCTAGCAAAAATCGTTTATTTATCCATTGACTTCCAATATTTTGCTTAGACAATCAAAATTATTTACTTAGAGTTTTAATAAAAAAACTTAGCAAAAATAGTTATTCTACTTGAAATTATTTTAAGTAAACCACTTAGCAAAAGTCGCTTTTTTTTTACTTAGTTTTTATTTAAAATTATTTAACATTTAAATGGTAGCCATTTGAATTTGTCTGTAATAAAAACTGGTTTTTCAATAAGAAAACGTATTTTAAGAAAATGCATTCTTGTGTGTTTCTTAAAAACGAAGCGATTTTGCGTTAAAAGAAAGCTTAAAAGATCGAGTTTATATGCATGAAAAATAACTGCATTCAA